TACATCGCTCTCTGAATTGCCAAGAACACTTCTCTCTTTCTCATGACCTTTTTGCTCACGACACGAACCCTCAGATCTTCATCGACGCCACAAATCCAAACCGCTCCATATCGCACCTTCAGGCCCGCAAGATCATTCGTCAATTGATTGGCGGTCTCCGCAAGGCTGGGGTGAAAAGGGGCGACTGTGTCCTCATCCACTCCTTCAATGACATTTACTATCCAATACTCTTTCTCGCCATTGTTGGTGCTGGGGCAATATTCGCTGGGACGAATCCAGGCTACACACCCCACGAATTGCGACACCACGTCGACATTACCAAGGCTAGCTTCCTCATCAGTGAACCGGAATTGCTCGATTCTCTACTGCAAGCGGCAAGGGACAAGGGAATCCCCCGGGCAAATGTCCGCATCTTCAACACGCAGCCCCACCAATCCGTGCCGGATGGATTCACCAGCTGGACGGACCTAATGCAACATGGCGAAGCCGACTGGGTGCGCTTCGACGATCTCGACACCTGTGCAAATGCGACGGCTGCTCGATTGACGAGCTCTGGAACAACTGGTCTGCCCAAAGCCACAATAACTTCACACCGAAATCTCATTGCCCAGCACGAGCTCTTGTATAGCGCCACGGTGTACCAAAAAAACTACGAGCCAATCAATTTGTATCCGACGCCAATGTTCCACGCAGCCATTGCACCGCGATGTCACACCTCAACGCTGAAGCTCGGCGAGACCGCGTACGTCATGAGGCGGTTCGAGTTGGAGCCATTCCTGGCGAATATAGAAAAGTACAAGGTGACGGAATTCTACGTCGTGTCCGCCATGGCCGTGGCCATCGCCATGTCTCCGCTCCTTAAGAAGTACTCGCTGAAGACGATACGGCACGGCCTTGCGGGCGCGGCGCCCCTGAGTAAGGAGACCCAGGCAGCAATCAAGCCGTATTTGGGCCCAGGCGCCCCATTCGCACAGGTCTACGGCATGACGGAGGTTTCGTGCATTCTCACGCAGTTCCGGTGGCCCGAGGACGACCAGACGGGCTCGGTCGGGCGGGCAATCCCCGGCATGGACCTGAAGCTGGTTGACGACGAGGGGAGAGATATCACGGGCTACGACGTCGTGGGGGAGATGTGCGCCAGGGGCCCGACCGTGATCAAAGGCTACTTCGAGAACCCGCGGGCCAACAAGGAGTCCTTCGACGAAGACGGGTTTTACCACACCGGGGATATGATGTACTGCGACGGCAAGACCAAGCTGTGGTATGTGGTGGACCGGAAGAAGGAGCTGATCAAGGTCCGCGGATTCCAGGTCGCGCCGCCTGAGATCGAGGGCGTCCTGCTGACGCACCCGGCCATCGTCGACGCGGCCGTCATCGGCGTCCCCGCCGCTACCGAACTCGACGGCGAAGCCCCGCGAGCCTACGTGGTGCGCAAGCCCGGCACGGCACCCCAGGATCTGACGGAGAAGCACGTCTACGACTGGGTGTCCCAGCGGCTGGCCAAGTACAAGCGGCTCGAAGGCGGGGTGCGGTTCACGGACGTGATCCCCAAGAACGCGAGCGGCAAGATTCTGAAACGCATCTTGAGGGACGAGGTGAAGAAGGAAAAGCCCGTTTCGAAGCTATAGACAAAGAATCCAAACCATGTTACCGTGTATGTATGTAAGTTGTTGACTGGGCCTGAAACTGGTTCGGTAATCAAATAGAGTGGCTTGGGTTGAGTGAATGGAGAGAGAACGAATGTCCGCAAATGTCGAATGGGGTGTTGTCGAATGAACGAAGTGAGCCAGCTGGTCTGCACGGGGGCAAACTTTGTACATGATGTAGGTCAAGACCCGAAAATCATCCTGTTTCGGCCTAGTACTGGGGACGATAGATGCCACAGGTTGCTGGCAACAAATAGTAGTGGTATATATGTGTACATACACAAATGCATTAGAAAAAGGGGGGGAGGTGGGTGTAGGGTTGACGCTTTTCTTGAACTCCCTCCCACTTACCGGCCTCCTTCCCTTCGCCGAGAATTCCGTGCGCGGCGCCAGCTCGCCCACGTGTCTCCCTGTCGAAAAGCAAATCCTCCACTCATTCAGAATCGTCGAGTGTGACCTGTTGTTCTTTATCTGACGCTGTGGTCTTTTGGACACCCGACTGATCGATCGGATCGGGGGAAGCTTCAATCAAGATTGACATGGTTCTCAATTGATGGCATCCGGATAGTTGTAGGAGCCGAGCCCCTTCGTTGATTTACATCGAGGGGATTGACATCGAGGGGCAATAACGTTACTGTGGTTAGAGGGCGCTGTGTTGTTTTGTTTGGAGGGCCCCTTGGCCCCCCTCGAACATGGTGCCACGGCGGCCCCTTCTTGCGTCACGAGAGCATGGCTGTCGATGCCCCCGACAAGAAGCGGCAGTCGCAAAAGCTTTGGCGCAAGACCTCGTTTCTCAACGCGACAACCTCGTCGTGCAGCGCCGAGACGAGCGAGGTCTGCATCTGCATTTTCTCTTCCTCCTTGCGGCACCGCTGCTGCAGCTGCTCGACGAACGCCTTCTGCCGATTCCGGCATTTCGTCGCGGCTCTGCGGTTCAGCTCCAGCTCTCGAGCGTGCTTTTCCGAGCGTGGAGCAATGCGGCTGGTCGTGTTTTTCTTCCGCCGAGCCGGGGTGTTCCTAGGCCGGTAAGAGTCGTCGCTGACGTCGATAGTGGCCAGCGACATGCGCCGGAGGAGCTGCTGGTGACTCAGTGAAACGGAGCTGGTGGTCGAGTCTATGGAACCCGTTCTTCTTGACTGAGAAGCTTGACTTGCAGGTGAAGTCGATCTCTCCAGATGGTGAGGATGCAGGGTTTGAGGCTGCACGAACTCAGGCAGAGGCCTTTGCATGTCCCATCCGGGCGAAGCGGTGAAGAAGAGACCATTGTCGTCGAAAACAGGCGTCCCTTGGTAGAGTTCCTGACTGTATGGAACATCCGTGGAGAGTGGAAGCTGCCACACGTTAGGGTGGTCTGCCACAGCGGGTGAAGTCGCAAACTCGGTGTTCAAAGTCATAGGCGCTATTATTGACATGGTTTTAACGTTTAAACAAAGCGGTGGCTATTCAAGAGCACGATCACGAATGATCTTAAAGCTTTCTTTGTATAGCTTGATTCAGCACATGTCTGTGGGGTTGAAAGGGGCAAGATGATGTGGGAGCACGTCGTCACCACTACTCACCATGTCCGGCAGAGGATTCCTCACATGAAATGAGGATCAGTGCCCGGCTGTGAGTGTGCGCGGACGCAGCAGAGATGGCAGGAAGTTTCTTCCGGGAGATGTGGAGTGGAACGGCGTTGGTTAAGCCGTGGACATGCCAATGATATCCAATGAAAAGAACAGCAAGCGTGGGATATACGAGTACCGGAGTAACCATTTCCACACCCATGGAGAAAACACCCGCGATCGACCATTTTCACTGCCTCGCTGTGTATTTCTAAAGAAGCCAATCTTGCCCGGAGGCGTGAAAGAGCGCCGCCGATCACCCTCGCGCACTGGAAGTTATCTCCAGGCGAGAGGGTCTGTAACAGCCTCCCCAAGTCCTACGGAGTAGTATTATTGTGATTCCTCGTTTCCTTTCGTCTCGGTGTTGATGCTCGAGGTATGACATGAATGCTCTAGTGAGAATTTGAAAGAGTGGGCACCCGCCGTCGCCAGAAAAAGCCCACCAACTCTCCCATGTCTGGCCCCATGCGCAATGCGACAAAGTCCTGTGCAAGAAGGATTGGAAATCGTGCGCAGACTGTGGCAAGCGGACAGTGCGGGACAGACTAACAAGTACGCTTGCAACTGCTGGTACTGCTGACACTTGCTGCTGTCCCCCCACCCAGCAAACTTGCCACTTTTCCTCGACTCCAAAATTTCTCCCATTGGCCAGTTGCCACCTATAGAATCCACTCTGCTAACTCAAAGGAGGGTTAAAGAGGGGTAAGTGACTCCACCCTGTCAGGAAGTACCGAGCACCCGTTAAACACAATAGGTGAACGCTTCTGGAAGGTGAGGACTACCACGGCCTCGCACAAAGACATGGGTAGGGACGCTAAGGGACTTGGTTCCTAGTGAGACCCTCGTCAGCTTGTCTGACATTGTCCTGGAGACACGCGTACCAATTGTGCTTCGGCGCTGCTCTAAGTACAGGGTACAGTACTATCTGTTATTTTCAATCTTCCCCGCATTCCTTTTTGACTGTCGTCCAAGGTCTCTTTGTTCCAATTTTTCTTGGTTACGTCATTCCCAACCACACCCCCTCCACCGACCCTGGCTAATTGACGATAATGGTTGGGGAGAACAAGGGAGAGTATCAAGACCCCAACGCAAGAAGTGGTTCCTAGGCCTTGATCAACCTATCATAGGCAGGACTGCTGGTCATCCGTCTACCAACATATGTACAGTTCGGGGAAACTGCAGATCTACCTACCATTAGTCGAAGAATGGGGCTGCCGCTGCAAGATGAAATGTGTCGCAGCTAATCTTTGCTGCATACAAGATATCCTTGCAGCTGGCCTGTAAGCAACTCCGTCATAGGTTTCCCCCCCTTGGTTTTGTTTATTATATCTTGGTTTCTAGCGCGGTTTATGTGCCACGCGTGTCGAGACATTTGGACATCAAGACGGAGCTTACGCCCCCAGCAACTTGAGCTTCAAAATTAGAGGGTGCATGTTCCGCTTTCACGATAGCGACGTGTCTGCAGTTATGAAGGCTCACAAAATCGCCTCCAAACCGAGCGGGAACACGAGGCCGACGACCAAACCGAGACGAAGAACTTCTCGTGGCAGGACTTCGCGCGCGTAAGTGCCTTCCCTGCGATTTTTAATGCCGAGTCTTTGCTACATTGTTGATGCCTGAATTGTCAAAAAGGCATGCTGATGAAGGTGCGTTACAACGCAGATGTGATCGGTGCAGGACCAAGAAGGCGAAGGTCCATCCCACTCAAATCTGTTCTGCGAGGCTGTTTTCGTTGACCCTGCGCAGTGTGATGGAGACCGGCCATGCAGAACTTGCCGGGCAACTGAGAACCCTTGTGTCTTCTCGGCCAGAAGAAGAGAGGCGAGACACTAGTAAGAGAGCAATCCTCGAATCTTTCGGGTGAGGACTTGTCCTAACAATGATCCATTTTCCTAGTTACTATCAAATGCGAGAATTGACCGACGTTGCTCTACAACAACTCTACTGGGCTTGTCGAAGAAGAACCGGCTTTCCGGGAGACATCCCAGACGAGTCGAAAGGAGGGGTCTCGACCGACGACATCTTGAAAGGGCTGGGTCTCATGAAGCCCGAGTTCGACGAGCTGAATTTTCCAAAGGAGACGGAACCATTGATGCGCAGCACCTGCCATGGCGCAGGGCAGGTGCAACAGAGACGCTTCCACGCCATCACTCCGTGTGATGATACCAACTACGTGGAGAAGCAGTCCGTCGCGTCGACCGGGTCGACGTCCAGCAGCAGCCCTCAAACAGCCAACGAATCAGTGCAAACAAGCATCACCACTAACACTCGCCATTACACTAACACCCACCTGCCCTTCGCATCCGACGTTGTTCGCACGCCGCCGTCCGAGGAGATCGACATGAAGGCCCAGTTTGAGCTGGCGTCTTCGCTCTCGCCCGCACCTCGACCTGGACGCGTCAAGAATCGGACGCACTCTCGGGACGGACCCCTTTTTAACACCCAGGAGCACGTCATGGAACCGCACCTGGACGTCGATGCTTTCGTCGACATGAGTCTCTGCACATCCCCCACGCTGCAGCCACACCCTCAATACTATGGCCAGTCCACCATGTCCTTCAGCATGCCGGAGATGGCCATGCTGCCGCAGTTGCCCCTGGAGCAACAGGCCCAACAGCCTTCCCGCGATCTCGTATACGACAGTTACCTGTCAGCGTGGCCTGGGCCTGTGGCGACCGGTCATCGATCGTCGGCGCCTGGATGATCACGAGTGGTTGCCTCGCCCGATTTCCGTGATGTCTAATTTTGTCTTCTTTTGTCATGGATGATTTTCGGCTAGAGCCTCGGCCATTCTCTACTCCTGTTGGAAGACCAAGGGACCATGGGACCATTTATCTCGTCACTCTAAAAGCGTTGATTGAGGGAGGAAATGGTGGCGCCTACAGACTATTCCACCTTTCGGGATTGTAATCATTTACTCTGCTCGCGGCTGTCTCTTGTGTTGTTACGATCCTGATGCCTCACTGTGTGCACTTATGCGGAGACAGTCCACCCTGTCGGCTGAAGTCTGTCGAATGGAAAGCATTTTATCTCTATATGCCGTCTACAATGATCCGCTACCAAGTTTGCACGAGAAGTTGCATTTTGTATGGGACGATTGGGCGACCGTCGACATCCTTCATAAACCGGGCCCAAGGGGGTCCTCAAGGTCAGTCCACTCGAGTCCGGAGCGGAAGCCTCTTGTGGAGGAATAATTGACTAGACCACACTTCCTTCTTTGGTGAAGAAACGCGAGATTTGGAGGCCATGACTTTGCCACTGCTCCAACTCCAAGCTCCTCTTCGATTCGAAGGCCCCACAAGTCGTTTGCTTTTTGCTTGCGCTAGAAAAACATTCATCCGCCATGTGTTCGGGGCTCGACCTCTCTAGAGGGGTGTGCAAGCACTTCCGTGATCACTAGCGGATCAACCGCCAGATCGCCCAAAGGTCACAACGAAGATTCGCTCCATTGCCAAATGCGACTGCATGTCTGCTTTGTCCATCCGCAGACATGGAGTGAGGATCGCTCATAAGAGACAGGAATCTTTCGGCAATGGCGTGTCGCGAGAGGGAACATCCTTTGTGCAGCTTCCCTGATCGGAGATGTGCTCCAGCGTACCGTTTCGGCAAGTGATCGCCATGTTTTTGGCTCTTCTAGTTGAAGCAATTATGCCCGCTGAAGGCCCACCCTGGCCCTCTGAAGCTCTTTCGCTTACACATCCTTGCACATCCAATAACGCTCAACCGAACAGGACTTCCAAAGGACCCTGGTGATCTGCATTCATGATAGCGCGCTAGGCATATATTTCGGATTCCCAATGGCGTTTTTCCTCCTATGGATGGAACGTCCAAGCTTGTAAGATCAGAGGTGTCGTGTACGCGTATGAACCCCCGAAAGGTTGCTTGAAGAGGTGGGCAATTCTAGACCGGTCTCGCCCTTTGGCATGTGTGTCTGCAAGCCTGTTCATACAGAGCTGATGGGTAGATGGAGAAAGGTACCGCTGGTCACGGAACGCGTGATAATGCCAGAAGATCCTTGACCTTCTCGGAACTTCCCTCACTGCCGCTTTATACGGAGACGTCGACGCTGCTTGTTTTATTGGTATGATAATTCGCTGGCTGTCTGGTTCGTCCATTTCCTGCCCTGGTTTTTCACACTCGACTTTGGAGTTTTGGAATATTGCTAGCGAGTCGTGAAGGCCAATTGCTTAAGCGCGTCTGACACAGCAAGCGAAAGTCAAATTCCGCCGAAGCAAATTCAACGTCATCTTTCGCTGTGAGCGTTAGGGCAGGTTGCTTTGTTGATGGCAATCAGTAGAAAGGAAAATGGCACCCCTAGTTGCGAAGACATCGGCGTAGTTTTTCGGAGTGCCTGTAGTGGCGGTGCCAAAAGGAGCCAAGGCATCGATAACTATTGAGTAATCCGATCTGGCTTGGTTGCTTTCGATCATTGAAATGGGGTGCTGCGTATCCTTCTTTCATTTCTTGCGGTCTCATATTTTGGGTTTCTGAATCCGATGCCGTAGGTCACAATCTGTGAGGCGAATGACAGTGGAGGCTTGACGCATCCCCTGGATGCTAAGGCACGAGCATCAGACTTTCTAACCTTCTAGGCCTGCAAAGAAGCCCGTCTCAAATTACACTTCAGGTTCCTCGGGTGTTACCACCTTTTTGGTGCCGAGAGCTGCGTGCGTGAAAATGATGCGCTTGCCTGTTCGAGCTTCTTCTGCCTTTCGCGCGCAACTATCCCCGTGCGGTCAGTCACTGGCGTCGCATTCGCAATCTGGTCAAAGTCGTCGTAGTCTTCCTCGCCCGAGCCTGATTCTGCGTCCGAATCAACCAGCTGCTGTGGCTGTTCTGTCGGAGTAAGTGTCATGGTGGTCCTGCTGTTACCGATTTCCTTGTTGTTTGGCCGCTGCATATCGTTATTTGGTGGTTCTGCGGGAAAATTGTCCGTGAATGGCTTGGAGGCCAGGATCTTTCGGCGGATCTCAGCCATCTCGGCCTCTTCGTCCTCATCTTCCTCATCAGGGGGCAATTCCAATGACATGCCTTGGTGCAGAGGGCCGTGCTCATCATCTGCATTTGAATCCGTGTCTTCACCTTGTTCGGAATCTTCCTCGTCGGATTCAAAGACCTCCCTCCTATTCATATTCCCGCCAGCCCAGTCGTCTTCCCGTCCAGCAGCGTCTTTGTTGAGTCGACTGTCTGCATACTCTTTCTCCAGCTTGGCGAGCCATTTTTCTTCAGCCTTCTTGATGTCCTCTTCATTCTGACATGCGGCGTATCGTTTGAAGAGCTGAGAGTTAATTTCGAGAAACGGCTTACCGTAGGGAAAGTGCTGCAAAATGATCTCGGCCCAGTCGTCGTGACCGCAAATGCAAAAGCATGCGGCAAGGGCTTCGACGCAGTTCAGTCGCCACGGCCTCCCATAGTTGACGGGATTGGCTGCGACAAGGTAGGGCAGAAGCCGTTCGCATTTCCCACCTATCCGTGAAAATGGAACTTCCTGCAATCTGACCCATGAACACTCAACCACGGCGGCGCCGTGCCGTTCAAGTAATTCTCGGTCTGCGGGTGATAAGATCTGTTTCGCGTTGGGACTGGATGTTTTGTCAACATGACGAGAGAGCTCTGGAGCGAGGCTCACTCACGAGATGACTACCCCGGGAAATTTCTGACCCACGGCTAACTCTCGCATCATACCAAAATGCATGAGTCTCTTACCACTACAGCGCTTTGAGTCGCAATGACCGAAATCCCAACATGCTGCTTTGAAAGGCGGGCGTTCAGAAACAGCTTCATCCTCGCCACCTTCTCTCGGCTCTCGCGTTGAGCGAGGCGTATGCCGCGATTTGGTAGAGAACTTTTTGGCCTTGGAAGAGGAACCATCTTTCTTATGGCGTACCATCGCGATGACAAAGTAGGCAAGCCTGGTCCGAATCGAAGCAGTTGAGGAGAGAGTCTCGGTTTTGTGGTGATGTTGTTGACGACTTCGACGCTGGTGGCGACGTTTTTCTGAGAATCCGATAAGAGAAATGCCAAGCTTCTTTCTTATCGTCACGTGAAGAGCCGAAGTTCTTCCGAATTCTCCAACTCCCTGGGCTCATTGTTCTCAGGTTCGCAACCCCCAAATCTTCAACGTACATTGTAAAGGCAACTACAAAGATGGGCTTAGCTGTACTGCCCCCAGAACCCGAAGAGGAGGACGTGCAAATTGATGCCTACGATGATAGCGACCAGGACAGCGACGTCTCAGTGCAAGATGATGGCGGCCGACCGTCAAAACGTCGTCGACTGTCCTCTTCGTCTAGACAGATAGCCCTGCCCGGTGAGGTCATTACGGATGATACGCAGTGGATGAGGTAGGTGCGGACAGCCCCGATGCAAACTCGAAGTACATTCTACTGACGCAGATAATAGGGGACATGGCACCTTCATGCCCGAGCAATCGACCACCATGATCGCGACGCTTGCGGGCCCACTGAAAAAGACAAACAAATTACTCTCAGTTGCCCCTCTTCGCGCAAGATATACACCTGAAATAGGCGATCTGGTTGTCGGCCGTATAGTGGAAGTCCAGAAGAGCCAATGGAAAGTGGACGTCGCGGCGCCCTTGCTGGCGCAATTACCCTTGTCATCCATAAATCTCCCAGGAGGTGTCCTGAGGCGACGCACAACTGCCGATGAACTGCAAATGCGGAACTATTTCCAAGAAGGAGATTTACTTGTTGCAGAAGTTCAACAGTTGAGGAGTAGTGACGGGACGGCGAATTTACATACCCGCAGTCTGAAATACGGCAAGCTTCGAAATGGAATGTTCCTCGCCGTCAGCGGTACCGGCGGCGGCGGCGGCGTGGTCCGCAGCCGAAGACAGGTCTTTACTATCAACAGTGGTGCCCAGGGCGGTGGAGACGTCAACGTCATCCTCGGAGTGAATGGATACATCTGGCTGAGCAAGCACATGGAACAAGTCGAAGATCAGGGCAGGATGAGCGGCGGCGTCAGCATATCAAATCTCGATGACGTTGTCAGCAGTGCCATCTACTCGAGCCAAAATGACGATATCGGAGAAGGCACCAGACGAGAAATCGCGCGTATCTCCGAGTGTATCAAGATCCTAGCCGAGGATGGGGTGAGGGTCGACGAGGACACCGTCGTCAAGGCTTATGAAGCTGCCGTTGATGCCGAAATGGACGTCATGACGGACCAGGAAGTCGTCACCACTAGTTTCAGCCACGAAGTCAGGAAGAGGATCCTTGATGCAGCTCTTCACTAATATGATATATGGCAATAACAGAAAAGGTGCAGCGACCAGCAGCCCCTATTAGTGATCGAGAGATTCAGTCTCACCAACGAGATTCACGTCGTCCGTCCTATATATGCGCCTAGATCGAATCCTTATACGTAAGGATACGTCTCATTTTGTCCTTTCCACCCTCTGTCTCTCTTTCTCTTAGGTAGGGATTGCCGGATACAATAGATAGAACTTACTGCCCCTGGTGTCCGCACGAGACGTTGAGAAGGATTTGACGCCGTCATTTGCTACCCGCGTTATTCGTTGAAAGAAAAAATCCAGTCAGTCCCTTTTGATTGGGGTTACATAATGCCATTCACTCCCAGAAGGCGCCGGTGGAAATCAAAATCCAAAAAGACCGAGAGTTCTGCTTTTGTTCGTTCGGCTTGCATTTTTTTTGGCAATTGACTACATCATCACTTCATAAA